CCTCCACTGGTGCATTGCTGTGTCTCTGGGGATCACAATTGCATGATATTCTACCTAGTCACTGTGTTTGCCCCATAGCTGGAGGAACACCATACCTAGCCATTGGTGAGTTGGAGTCTCACAAACTTTTATGTCCAGGCTAGCTTTGAACCCTTATCTCAGTCTCCATTTGCCAAGTAATCAGGATTATAGGCTTGAACCACTATGTGCAACACACTTCATCTTTTCAAATACCGCCTACAGATGGATTTTTCAATCATATTAACATCCTTTACTGTTCCAAAATCTGTAATTTCTCAGGGACTCCACAATGCATTGCATATGCAAATGATCAGGAGAGAAGCAAAAGCAAGGACAGCAGAGAGAGAGGGAAAGGGCAGAAAGCAGGATCAAGTGGCCAATACTGATTATAAACCCTTCCCTTATTCCCAATTTTAAGTGACTTTTTCCTACAATATAAATGGTGGTGGTTAGAACTGACAATAAACATTTCCTAGTCAAGTATGGACTGAACAGCCTTGTTGTTTCATCTTATCCCATTGCTGGCAAGACAGCTGTAGTCTTTATGATAGAAAATTCTCAGCACCATCAAAGCCTCCCAGCAACTTACAACTTTGCTGCACTTTTGGTGGGAACTTAAGCATTAATTTCAGGAGACAGTTGCAATGAATTTTCCAGCAATTGAACCACAAATTTCAGTAAAACTCCTGGACACACAACCTGCCCTCCTTCCAAACCCTGAGACAGGGAACTTGTGATCACTAAAACATTTCAAAAAAGTAACTCAAGATGTGAACAAAACATCATATTGCTCTGCATTCAGGCCAGGAATCTCTCTCTTTTAAGTATTTATAAATTGCTTATAGGATTTTAAGGAGAGTTCAGGACTTTCTAACATCAATGAAAATAAGGCCTGAGAAAGAGAGAAAGGAACTAGAGGATATTTGGGAGTTTCTTGTAGGTTCTTAGTTTCTGTCAGCCTTGAACAGCAAAACATTTCATCCATCTTAGATCATCTTCAAGAAAAATCTTTGGCGGGGTTGGGGGGGAGTGTAATTGTGGAGATGGGAGGGCAAGGATGGTAGGAGAAAAACAAAGGAGGCAACAATGTAGCATCAGAAATGTACTCATTACCTTGCTCATGTAATTGTAACCTTTCTGTATGGTATTTTCACAATAAAAAAACTTACTAAAAAAGAATAATCTTAAATCATAGTTATAAACAGAGGAAATAATGATGGCTGCTTGACATTTTTGGAGTCCATGGCTACGAATTCCGATATATAAACCTCCAAATAGAGGTTTACCTACATGGCTTCAGCTCACCAACTGCCACCACTGGAAACAAAAAGCAGCGTATATGGCACATATCTTGTATTTTCCTTTCTGTAATAGAATTCACACAAGGTAAGTTGTCATGAACAGAGGAAAATTAAAATTTACTGAAGAGGTTCCCAGAAAATAGACAAAAACGATTCCACCTTTCTTAGCTGGTACACAGTCAATCACCTGCTCACAAGATACTGGCTTTATACACATCAAAGCATTCTGAAAAAATAATTGGTCATCAGTAAAGAAAAGCACGCATCATTGATGAGCTGTACTGCACATGCATACATATTTGAGCTGAAAGGTCTGTCATCACCTAGCACACCTGGGTTTCAAGTTTCCAAGATGGAAGAAGAGACCTAACTAAGGACATTTCAAGGCCCAAGCCCTCCTGAATGCTCCCAGGATGAGGTTAGCTCACCCTGACTTGGCCTTAAGAAACACACCTGTGCCCAGGAATCCAACCAGAACTTCATCTCAGGCATCACCTGCTGAGAGCCATTCCAGATAACTCTCACCATGTTTTTGTTAAGCCAGGCCACCAATCCTCCCCCCACCACCCACCTAAGCAACTTCTACCTGTAATCAGGATGTGACTTTTTTTTCTCTGTGTTTCTTTCTGTCTCTGGCTCTCTCTCTTCCTTTAACAGTACTGAGGTTTGAGTTCAGAGCCTCATACTTGTTAGGCAGGTATTCAAGGACTTAGGCACACTTTTTGCCTTTTTTGGACTTGCTGGTTTTGAGGTAGGATCTCACTTCCTACCCAGGTGCATGCCTGGATTTTGGTCTGCCCATTTTAACTTTCTCCTCCATCATCTTGGCTGGAATGATAGGCTTGTAAAGATAACACCCAAATTCCTGCTATTCAATTTTCCTGCTCAGGCTGACCTGGAACCATAATCCTCCCAATTTCAGCCTCCCATGTACTATTGTTAAGAAGGGCCTGGATACCCAGGCTAGCCTTGAACTGCAATCCTCCCATTCTTAGCCTCTTAGCCTAAGTGGCTCACATCAATGAGCCACTGAGGCCTTGCTGTTGCTTTTCTTTCTTTCTTTCTTTTTTCTTTCTTCTTTCTTTCTTTCTTCTTTCTTTCTTTCTTTCTTTTCTTTCTTTCTTTCTTTTTTCTTTCTTCCTTCCTTCCTTTCCTTCCTTTCTTTCTTTCCCTGGATGGTATCCCATGGCTCTCTTTTCCTCCACTTGCCTCAACCTTCATATTCTATTCCTTGTTCCCAAGATCAAAGACAGCTTGTGCTGAACATTTTTCTAGATGATTTATTGGTCTTTTGGGGAAGGTACATTTCTACAAGGATCATGTCATTTGCAAAGCATATGGAATAAAGTAGCATTCATTGAGGATGGTGATCTAAATTGCATTAGGTTTTGCTTTGGCAAGAATACCAGATGGATGCCTTTATGATGAAGTGGGTCTCTTCCAGCTCTTTCTTTTATGCAGGTCTCCAACAGGTGTTTCCTCTAAGGCAGATCTGTTTTCCATAATATCAGAATGAGGAAAGATGTTGTCTGTGACAGCTTGTTCACATAGATCATTCTTTCATTATGATAGAAATGTGTACAGTGATTGATATGCTATTATTCCAAGTCAAGTAAAAGTGTTCTTGGGAAATCATTTCCATTTTCCAAAAGGGCATTTAATCATTGGACAAGGACTCTTCATTCATCATGGGGGTGAGGAGGATGGAGAAAAATAGAGTTTGGTGGCCAGATAAGTTTGTGAGACACTAGATTAGACATTTTTTTGTATGTGTGCTGTATCAAAGCTTGAATTCTGAGTCTTGAACTCTCCTTAGCTTTTTCCCTCATAGTCAGTGCTCTACTGCTTGAGCCAATCTTCTACTTCTGGCTTTTTGCTGGTCAATTGGAGACTAGGATCTCTTAGATTTGTCTGCCTAGGCTCTTCATATCTCAGTTTCTTAACTATCTAGGATTACAGGTGACTGGAATTTTGGAGACCTTTCAATGTGGTAAATTACAGTGTGAATCTCAATGAGGAGCCGTTTTTCCTAATTTTATTTTACTTTATGTAATTCATCAGAACTTATCCAGATAAAGACATGCCATAGAACAGGTTTTGAGGGAAGGCATTTGCAATAGGATAGGATAAAAGGTAAGCTGTGGTAACATGCATGAACTCTTACTAGCTTAGCATTATTTCTCATTTGGGTGGCATATCTAACACAGTCAATAGGGCAAGGGCAGGTCTGTCTTGCATCCTGTTCTAGGCTGATCCTTCACTACAGCAAGTTAGAAGAGACTCCAAAAGATCACATGACCTTTTACTGCCTCAGCCATCACTTCGATCTTATGGGAGAGAACTTGTCATATATCACCACCTACATCCTAAAGAAGGAAGGGAGCCATAATTTGTGAACACTAGCAACCTCAACTTCAGCATCATGTTCAGATGCTGGCTTTACAATTTGTTATGTCTTTCCTGTTATCCACACAAAGGAGCAAGGGACTAAAGTGTTTAGCGGATATGTTCACCAAATATTTCAGTTGTTTGCCATGGTCCCTACCCCTCTTAATGTCAGCAGGAGCCTGTGACTGGATCTAGCAAAGAAGCTGTGGTACAGGTCACTTGGAATATAAGCAGTTAAAAGTCCAGACTTCAGTTCCTTCCTCTTACCTTGAACTGAGCAGAGGCAGTTACAGGAATTGTGGCCATAAGATGGGAGCATCTGCACATGAAGGTTCTAAGGCGCTGGGTAGAGCACAGGTGCATATTCACCTGAGTAAAATATAAATAATCTGCATAGGTTTAGGCCCCAAGTATGGTGAAGTTCTTTTTGTACTATAATCTTAGATTCTCCTCACTTATCTAGTGCTTTTCTAACCTGAAATTTTCTGTAATTCTGAGAGTTTCCCTTTACTGTAGCAAGAATATAGGCATGCCTTAGAATTTGAGTCCATTTCCCAAAAGATCAGCTAACCCTTTCAATAACTGAACATATGAAAAAGCAGTATTGTGCCTAGCATAGGGTACAGCTGACATATGAAAGACTTTGCCAAACATTCAATTCTTAAGAAGGCTTATGAGTTTCAGTAAGGCTGGTGAGGCAGAAATGAATATAGAAAGGATTCTAAGAAGGGAGAAAGAAACTAAACTAAGGAAAGAGATGTACCAGTGTCTCAGCGAACCTTTTTATTTTATTTTAATCTTTTTGAGACAGTATCTCACTTTGTCACTCACATTGATCTGGATGTTGAATTTTCTTGCCTCACCCTTCTGAATACCTGAAATTACAGGTGTGTAACAGGTGTGTATCACCATACTTGCCTCTTTCATAGCCTTTTAAATTCTAGGTTGAGTTGCCCCAAATACTGCTCATAACTTCAACCAGGAGATAGTAGCACTGTGATAATAGCAAAACTAAAGGAGGAAATAAGCCTTTGAAAACAAGATGTATGATCTAAGGTGGAAAAGAGTCTAATCTGGTTTTCTGCCAAATATCTATCTTCAGCTGTGATGGAAGTCTGGGTATTCAGCTCCTGGAGTCTTTGGAACATAAGCCTTTAGTCTGAGGACTCAGGCAATCTCTTTACATGATGCTCCACTTGAAGCTCGAGGGTCTAATGAGTTTTTCATCTTGGGTTTGTTACACTTTAACCCCAAATGTTCTCAGACTAACTGTTCATTCTCCTTCTTCAGGATCTTCCAACATGATTCAAGGACAGAAAATGATGACCAGCTTGACAGCAGCGGCATGTACCACTGGTGCAAATCTACCCCTCTGGAAAAGGTGATTCTGGTAGGTGATGACACAGCAAAGCCCATATAACAAAGCATGGCTCAGCATAAAGAATGTCCTTCTGCTGTAGTTATTTTTGTAAAATGTGAAATGGGAGGGGAAAAGAAAACACATACTCATCAACCATACGGTGGTATGCTGGGTAACCTATGTAGCATTTGACAGATTATGTGGACCATTTGCTGAGACAATTAGAACTGTTCAACCACTACTTCCTTCTCTTAACCAATTAGCTAGCTCAATTATTTAAAATAATGCTCTCTTGAGATGCTGAGGGTTTGCTAGTAAATCTAACTAATCCAGACACACCAGAGAAACATAATTTGTAAGAAATCTGTGGTTATCTTTTTGTTATAAAACAAATAACTATGTTCCTAATTTGGGGGGTTTGAAATGTAGAATTTTAAATATTTTTTCTTGAAGCGGAATATACTTAACATTTAATCCATTAGCCAAAAATGCACCTAAAAATGCTCCTCACAGCAGCCCATCTAATCTGGATGAACCCTTCTGAGTATGGTAGTTCTGTTCCTACCTCTCCAGTCAAGGACACAAATTAACTCCACTTGTATTGAGTTGCCTGCAGCCTGTGTGTTAAACCAGGTTTGATTCCTGCTTTCTACATCTCCATCTATTCTCATTTTCCAGAGTTATAAACTCAAGTATAATTTCAGTGGTTTTCCTTATAAACAGTAGCTGGAAATTTAATTATCAAGAAAGATTATGTTGTGTCAGCTGTATATCATTTTCTCATCTATGAATAGTTGATAATTATAAATATTTTCTTTCTTAAAGCAATTTGGTTCACTTTTTTAATCACACACACACACACACACACACACACACACACACACACACACACACCATTCTAAGGCTCAGGGCCAGTGTCCTGACAGAATAGACTCCCAGTTTTGTAAAAGCATGATCAATCATTTGATCAGAAGCATAAAATTTTCAGAACTGTCATATCAATTTGAAGATTCTTTAGGCTGTTAAAATATACCATTTTGTCGTATTCTAAACTACAGAAAATAAACATATGTTGGACAGGAAGCCAAACATGTTTTTAGTGGGAAGCAAGTATTCAGAAAGAAAGGTTGAGAAGTTGTATGCTAGCTGAGCCACCCAAGAAATAACAAGTGCTTTATCTGGCCAAGTCACCATGATGGATTTTACGTGATGTGGAATATAGTTCTGACTAACAACCCTGTTGTTTGTTAAATTTAGAAACACTTACTGTTGTAGAATTGCTGTAAGTTTTAAAACCTGTGACTGTTGGGGAGAAATGACCAGATTGTAGAACTAACAGAACCTTTGAACTTGGGGAAAAAGTCTCTACCAGTCAAGTAGAAGTACTTAATTTATGTTACTCTGAATAAATAACAAAGCCTTCTCTTTCCCTAGAAGCCACTATCTTTCTTAATTGGGCAACAGTTTTTGTCACAATTTCTTGGAGAAATTGCCTCTCTAGCTGTGCCTATAAACGCACACTGCCATGTATCTTCTTTCTAATTGTTTAGTTCTCCTGAGCAGAGCAATTGTTGGACTGCAGGCATGTTACATTAAATACTGTTAGAGCCATAATTATTCAAGTTAAAACTAATCGGATTAACTAGAGACAATTATTTAACTGGTTTGGTTAAGATTCATATCACTCTCTAGGATTCACTCTAGACAAGTAGCTTTATTTCCTCTAACAAGGGGATCCCTTTACAAAGAGGGCATTTCCAAGTTTGCTAATTAATTTGATCAACTCTAATTGTAGAGATGTCAGATGTTATGTATATATACCTGTGAGATGCTATCAAGCTCTCCTTTGTAGAAGTTTGTCATTTAACCCAGCAAAAGATTGGCTTAAAGAAGAACGATACATTTATTTGAAATATCCTGACTCTTAGTGTGATAAGGAATAGAAGAACCCCATAGGTGACATTTAAGTATATTTAAGTTGTCCTTTCAATAACAGCCAGGTTTGATTAAATTATTGAACAATCATTAAAAAGTCACATGCCCATACTTTCAATATGATATTTCATTTTAACAATGAAGTGCCACCTTTTAAAACAAACAGATTGAGGGCCATAAACAATAATTTGTTCATTCCTATGACTAAGGATAGAGACAGAATACAAAGGTCAAGTCTTCTGGTTCCACACTGGTGCCCTCTCTCTTACCCCCAGTGTCACTGAGGAAGTTGCCTGTTTCCTGAAAGAATCTAGATATAGGTTTAAAATAAGCTTTTTATAGGAATGTTTTTCAGTTACTTTTCTTGCTTTTTGAAAGTGGAAGGATCCTAATTACACACTCTCTCTGTCTCTGTCTCTCTGTCTCTCTGTCTCTCTCTCTGGCATATCATTTTGTTTCCCACCTAGAAATATAGAGATAATGTTAAGAGCTGGCAATGTTGGTAACAGCATGAGACATAATGTAATGTTTGGGATCAAATGGAATTTTTATAACCTTCCTATTTGGGGACATAGTTCCTCATGAATTTCTTCTACTTAGAAAAAACGTTATTCAAGTAGTTCAGTTTATTAGGTTGAGCCATATGAACTTGCCAATATTCAACCATTCGTGATAGACAGAAAGGCAATTTCATGTGGTTTAAGCATCTATAAGGAATCTCACTGAATACTGCAACATGTTAAACAAGTAACATGTGATCTGCAGGGCTCTCTGGGGCATCTAAGTTTAGCAATAGAATTTTGAATGACTTGATTTTTCATTAAATTACACTATATATCATCTTTAAAGGTCAAAACAATGAAAATCAAGAAATATTGCTTGCAATTTTTCTAATACTTTCATACCACAAGTAATGATGTTGATCTGATTTTTAATTGATCCACCTGGTAAAACACTACGAAAATAATGATCAGAAAATAAGAGTCCTAATTGTACCATTTATGTGTAAGCTCCACTTAAAAAAATTATTGTAGGGGCTGGGAAGGTGGCTCAGTGGTAGAGTGCTTGCCTTGCATACATGAGGCCCTGGGTTCGATTCCTCAGCACCACATAAGCAGAAAAAGCTAGAAGTGGGGCTGACACTCAAGTGGTAGAGTACAAGCCTTCAGCTGAAGAGCTGAGGGACAGCGCCCAGGCCCAGAGTTCAGGCCCCACGCCTGACACACACACAAAAATAATAGTGTAAAGGTGATGTACAGAGGGGTTACAACAGTCAGGTATTGAGTACATTTCTTTTTGAATAGGGTCACCTCTTCTCTCATTTTCTCCCAGATTTCCCCCCTCAGCCCCATCCCTCCAAGTCATATAGCTGCTAGGGAGTATCACTGCTGAATTAACACCCTTTGTGTTAGCCCTATGAAACCCTTGCTCTTAATGTGTCCAGAATCATTGAGGCATTCTTGTTTAATTGATTAAAAACTGACCTATTCTGACTGGGCCCCAGGAGCTCACATTTGTAATCTTAACTTCTCCGGATGCTGAGATTTGACAATTGCTATTTGAAGTTAGGCAGGACAGGGAACAGCAGAATGTTTGAAGTGGAACTTTGGCTAAACTGGTAGAGTGCTAGCCTTGAGCAAAAAAAAAAAAAAAAAAAGGGACAGTGCTTAAGCCCTGAGTTCAAGCCCCAGTATGGGCACAACACCCGCCCTCCCACCAAACATACTCTGGTGTGCTTATTCTTAGAAACGGTCCTCAAAATATGAGTTTCGGAACCACATTGTAGCATGTGTATTTGGAGATGCACATTCAACCCTGATGGGTCTGCGGAACTTCGTGATACCCTTGAGAGCTAGCAACTTCACCCGACAGGAACTGAAGGACATTGTGTTCATTGGGTCTCTGGATTACCTAGAGAGAGAATGGCGATTTATCCGGAACTTTCCCCAGATATTCATTCTGCCTGTAAGTATCGCATAGAATAGTGGTTATCATAATATTTACACTAATAGTACTAAAATTAATAGATTAATAATAGTAAATAATAATATTAATAGTTTACAATCACATATTAAATATTGTAATCATTTTACCTATATTCCTTCATTTAAGCCTCAAAATAACCACAGGATATAGACTGCAAAGAAGTTGGACCTAAAGAATGGAAACAGGAAAGTTTGTCCAAGATTACATAGCATGTTAGTGGCAAAAGCCAAAGACATTGTGGCTTCTGAGTTTATGCTTAAACTACTGTGTTTTGTTCATCATACAAGCGAGATCTTTTTCAAGGCATTTCTGAATCTCATTCTGATATACTGGCTAACCTTACCCACCATCAGCTTTTGATACACCTATTTCATCTCTTCTGGAGACATCTTGTATATATACATGTATGTACAAATATATATATATATATATACATAGATACATATATGTATGCACATATATGTGTGTATATACACATATATTGTGACACATGGTCCCTTAGAGAAGAATATGAAGAAAGGAATCAGGTTTATCACTTTGTGAAATGGACCTTATGTGATTTGAATGACTCTTTCAAAATCATGTTGAAATTTACTTGCCATTGTAACAGTATAGAAAGGTGAGACCTTAGGGAGATGATTAAGTCATCCTATGAATGGATTAATAGTGAGATGGTGACAGCAGAGTTAATTTATTGTGGGAGTCGTTTCCTAAAAAATGAGGTAGCTGAGATCTGAAATCGTACTCAGGAGGCAGAGATCTAAGGATCAAGTTTCAAAACCAGCCTGGGCAAGAAAATCCATGAGATTCTTATCTCCAATCAAACAACCAAAAAACTGGAAGTAGAGCTGTGGCTCTAGCCTTGAGCATATAAAACTCAGGGACAGTACCCAGGCCCTGAGTTCAAGCCCTCAAACCAGCACAACTTAAAAGTATAGGGTTCAGCCCTACCCTGCTCACATGTGTGTGCTTTCTTTACCTGTGACACTCAGAAGGCCATGTCCGATGCAACTTTTGGTCATATCCTGGATTTTCCAGACTCTAGAACTATAAGAAATATTTTTTTCCATAATAAGTTACTCAGAGTGGTCTTCTGTTATAGCAGTAGGAATAAGACCACACAAATGGACTAAACCTGGACCCATTATCCATCCACGCATTATTGTTGCAATTATATTTGCATTTAACTTCAAAGGTCTTTATCCTAATTTATGTGGCCACTTCCCTGGATGAAAATATTGTTTGCACTTTGAAATGCACCACTTTGGATTTTCATGAAATAATGCTGTGATATGTAAGGAATATTTTCAAACTTCAAAACAGATTCCCATGAAATAATGCTGTGATATGTAAGGAATATTTTCAAACTTCAAAACAGATTCCCTCAAGAATCAAATTGAAGTCTCTCTTTATAAATCCTACCATGAAGTCCCCTGTTCCATTCCTCTTGTTCATACAAAGGGGAAATAAAAAAGAAAATGACCATATTTAACTAGTGTTGGAAATTACCAACACTATAAAGACTATAAAGACTATCAAGACTCAAAGTTCTCTGAATGGGAACAGATGGATCCTTATTTCTCCACCAAATGAAAGAAACAAGTGTGAGGTTGCTGGTTAATCTGAAGAATACAAATGGGCTGGGCTACTAGCAAGATTCTGAGACTAAACATTTAACTTTAACTCCATAATGTCTCCTTTCTCTGATTCTTCACCGCCAGTAACTCCAGATTACCTTTGCTATACTTCTGAATTTAAATCCTGGTTTTGCCATTTACCTACTGTGCAATCTTGAGCAAGTTGCCTTTATTAATTCTGTGTTACTCTTTCTCAGTTCTTCCTACTCTACTCTTCTCCTGCTTGTGTCATCAAAATGGATTTATGCTCCTTATTATCCTATCCTCCTTTGTCTCATCTATTTAAAACTTGCTCTCTAGCAAGAGTCTGTGAAATCTACTCACAATAAGATACTAGTGATTGATAAGGAAGGAAAAATATACTCGATAATAGATAGATAATAGATAAATAAATAAAAATGAAACCAACGCAGTAAGCCAGGTGTAGTTGCACATGCCTACAATTCCTGCTCTCAGGAGACAGAGCAGGAGACTGGTCAAGTTCTAGATCCACCTAGAGCATGTAGCACATTCAATGACAGTTTGAGCTACACAGTGAGACTCTATTTCAAAAAAACAAAAACAAATGAGGGAGTAAAGGAATGAATAAATAACAAATTCATGTCCGTGGAAAAACTACAGCTTGAAAAAACATATCACCTAAATAGGGCGCTACCATCTGACAAGTCTCTTCACAATCTGGTGTTCTTTCCTTAGGGATCTGCACTCTATATTGGAGACCTACACACAGTCAACATAGAGGACTGCTCCATGTGTACTATCTTAGCCCCCTCGCCCAAGCCATGTAGCAGTCCAACTCTGGTGGACACAGAGGCCATCATGGCCACACTCAACATTGGATCACTGCGAATCGCCACCGGCCCCCAGGAATCTTCAGCCACAGGTCAGAACACCTTCCCTGATTGGACGAGGCTTGGAAGGGTAGAATAAAGCAATATTGGAATAGTTTATGAAAGGGGTAAAAATTGAGCTACAGATCTTTTGGGACCCCTTCCAACCATGACAATAGTTTAAGAATAGTAGCTTACAGTTATTTACTTGGAAATTCCTCATCAAATGAAGTCATGCATATGCTAAGTCAAAATAAGTCATTTATATGCTTCTAAATAGAATATTATAATATTCCATTTGTTAATATTATCATATTATTTTCCTAGTTTTAGGGGAAAATCACAGAATTCTAAGTGTTACTATTTTTAAAAAAAAAACATAAACAATCACTTCTCATTGGCTGTTGTATTGATGTTACAATTTTTATTTCAGGTTGAAACCAAGAACTGTAATTCTTTTTCTTTCTAAAATGCTTTCAGTACATAGCTTTTAGAAGATTATCTGAAAGATTCCTTCAAACTTCTGTAGGCTAAAAGTGTCAAGCTCCAGCTTCAAATTACAAAGAAGGAACAAATTAGAAGCAGGGATCTATTCAAAATAGAAAACTGGTCTTTCTGTCCTTTTGATTTCGCTCAACACTGGAGATAAATACTATCACTTTTAATAGTGATATTGAATGGAAGCAAATGAGCCAGTGCACTTCACTCTTGAAGAGCTTTCATGTGCTTCACTGTACCCAAAATGAACATGGGATTAAATTGTGTTTTTCCTTACCACCAAATGGGAAGACACATTTTTAATTCCAGAAAAGAAAAGTTAATTGTGATTGGAATTCTCATTTCCCTTGTGGATGACTGGTCTTCTGTATTTAGATCAGGCACTGGGTCCTTAGGCCACATGGCTGCTAAGCAGTGACTCAACCTGCCTACCACTAGGAAAGGTTGGAAATCAAATGCATGGTCAAGATCTCTGCAATTATGCTTGTGGATAAAAATGTTCATGAGTCAAATCATGGAAACAAAGCAACTCTCTCTGGTTTTAAAGTATTGTGGCTAGGTGGGAAAATGCCAAGTCCATAGGATAGAAGAAATAGGAGTCATGGAATCATTGGTAGGTGACTTGAACCAGCTTCCACTATTCATTCCCACTAAGCAAAGAAACCCTACCCAGCATCTAGGATTTTTATGTTTTATAGACCAGAACTCATAACAGAATACTTCAGAGTGCTATGAATAGCTTAACTTGGGAAGCGTGGGGTTGTGCCTATCCTTAAAAGCAAGAGCTGTTGCATTCTGTTGCATTCACAGAAATCCATAGCTGGACAATTATAATCACTCAAATTCACACATGACTTGAGTACATGTGTGTGCACATGTATGCAACTCTGTAATTGGACAGAAAAGAATATTTTAAAGCCAATGTCATCCAAATAGAAATGAAAATATACACACAATAGAAGCCTGTGGTCAACTGACACTACCTTAAGCCATCTACTTAATGATCTAGATGAGTACTCTGTCAATTGCTATTTTTAAATATCATTTCTTTTACAGAAGAGGCTATCTCTTCCTTATACCTAGAGATTGTCTTTTCCTTTATGTGTTTCTTCATTCAATAGGAAGGTATTGATTTTTGTAAGATGTGTCATGTCCTCTGTTCCAAAGCTAGAAGGTATCTTTAAAGGAGCAACTGGTTGCATCATCTGAGATAAATGGGGGAGGGAGAGGAGGAGAGAAGAAAAGGATTGGTAAGAGGAAGAGATGAGAAGGAATGTCAAGTATTTGAATCATTACAAATCGTGAGCAGGCACTTCAACCAAAGGTAAAAATCAGAGTGAGGGAAGAATGTGCCATTCAGCCTTATGTCATTCCTCCTATAGATAGGAGTTGTTCCCAACTGAATGACAGAATTACAAGGCTAGTCAGGCCCTAGTAACCTACCAAACAAAAGTCATCAATGTTTCTTTCTCTGGCACCAAGATATCAGTGAAGTTGTATGTTGACTACATCTTTAGGAAACACCTGAAGTAATTACTCAGAAATTTCACTGATTGTGCAGGCATTAGAGGAGCCAGTGTAGACTTCCTATGTAGAACACCCCAGTTCTCAATGAGATGGTTCCAAGTTCACATCAACACTCTTCTTGGCACCACACCAAAGAGGTACTCTTGCCTCCAAAGACAGAAAGTACAAAGAATGGGTCAGTTTTCACCAGAGGGAGAAAATATTTTCCATCCTGATCACCAAACTGCAATTAGCTAGTGGGCTATTTCCTTTCAGTTTCCCTTAAGAAAAGACAATATTGACCCAAGCAACTATCTGACAGTGTCTGGAGACAGATTTAGTATCACACTGAAGGGATGCAATCAGCATCTAGCTCATATAGGTCAGCCATGCTGCTAAAAATCTCTTGGCCCCATATGATAAAGGTCCATAACACTCTTATTGAGAAAACTTTTCCCATTGAATCTGGTGAGCCCTTTGTAGGACTCAAGGGGGGTTTTCCACCTCTTTCAACCATGATAAACTCATATCTGATGTCAAGCTAGGCTCCTTGATGATATTCCCTATAAAGATGTGCCATAGAAGGTTGAAAATGGGGGGGGGTACACAGCCAAGTAAGGACTCTCCAAGGAGCCCTGAGAACCCCAGGCATTCAGGGCTTCACCATGGGAAATGGAAAGGTTTCCCAGTAATGCTCTAATTACAACCCTGTCATATCACAGGAGAACAGGTTGGCAAACCTAGGTACCGAACTAAATAATCTGAGCATAATCTAAACATACAACAGTAATTAAGTCTGACAACTTAATATGCTACTGAAATTTAAATGTACATTAATAATCTACAATTAAGCAATCTTTTGTAATAGCACCCTGCCAGCCTGGGAGATTTCAGGTATAATATTCTGTACTGTTAGGTAGCAAAAATATTGACATTAGTAAAATATACTTGGATCTATGATTGGATGTTTATTCAAATTACCCATTGCTCTACATGGAAAGACAGAGCTAAGGCAGGAATTCAGTTGTCATCCTTTGTCAAAATCAGAAACAAATATTTATACCAATATATAAAATTCAGGTGTTTCAGCTGGGCCCCAGTGGCTCACACCTGTCATCCTAGCTACTCAGGAGTCTGAGATCTGAGGATCACAGTTCAAAGCCAGCCCAGGCAAGTAAGTCTGTGAGACTCTTATCTTCAATCAACTACTCAGAAAAAGCTGGAAGTGGTGCTGTGGCTCAAATGGTAGAGTGCTAGCTTTGAGCACAAAGAGGCTCAGGAACAGTGCCCAGACCCTGAGTTCAAGCCCTAGGTCTGGCAAAAACAGACAAACAAATAAAGCCAGGTATTCCAAGCCCTTTTACAACAGGAAACTGGGATCAGAAAACAGGAATTAAAGAAAGATTTCCCCAGGGAGAGATTTTTTTTTTCACTTTACAGGAAACTGATCTTAATATTTTATGGAAATGCCAATCATACCTTGGATACTTTAATAGAGGGACAAAGTGGTTCCCTTAAAAAAGATATGGGCTTTGAAGTGAGTGCTACTCAGGGTATAAAACCCGCCCATCAGTAACAAGCTGTATGGACTTTGGCCAATCTATCACTCATCTTCAGAGTGATCTAACTATACTTAGTTCACAGAGTCAATTTGACAGTCATGTAATTCTTATCTCTCCTGTCTGCAGCTTCCAGCTTCCAGACAAATATTTGTAAATATTTATGAGAGAGTTTCAGTTTCCTACTTTAAATTCTATATAATAAATTCTATATAATTGGTCAACATCCATGGCAATCATAGGAAAATCATACAGGATCTTGCAAACCAGTAGAGAATTTGGATTTTCTCCTAATTTATCCTATTTATACTGACTCTGTCCTGCCATAGGTCTCTTACTCCACTCAATCTGCCTAAATGTCTTTGTCATCCCTGAGAACTCTATTTTAATCTCAGAGAAGCCTCTTCAGAGACTTATCTTGTCATATCTCCACATCAGTGACTAGTTCCTGAAGAATTTATTATATTCATCACTTTCTAATAATGTTTTATTGTAGTGTGGAATATATCACTTGGACAGAGTCTGTCCACAGACCTAGAATAGATATATTTATTTCAAATTTTGAAGAAGGAAGGAAGGTAGGGCAGGAGGATGAGAAGGAAGGAGGGAGGAAAGAAAAGAGGGAGGAAAGAAGGCAGGAAGGCAGGCAGGCAGGCAAAAAGGAAGGAAGGAAGGAAGGAAGGCAGGAAGAAAGGAAGGAAGGAAGGCAGGCAAGCAGGAAGGCAGGCAGGCAGGCAGGAAGGAAGAGAGAAATGAAGTAGAAAAGGAAGAGAAGGAAAGAAAAGAGGGATGGAAGAGGGAAAAGAAGGACACATAAAATAGATAAAATTACCTTGTAAATCATGACAAGTAAAATTTCAATTCTCCCAAGTCTCCATTTTTGGTAGGGAAAATAGTTTAAGGCAGAAACTGATGTAAACCTTCTTAAATTGCCATGTAATCCAGTTAGCTCATGGCCTTCCATTTCCTTACCTAAATCTAAAGGGTTTCAGAAAATTATTAGAGTTACTGTGAGTTCTAATTATAAACCACTGTGCTAAGTTATTCTGGTGGACTTTCTGCTTTATCCTTTCCTCTCATAATTCAGAGGCTGTCAGAAATACATTCAGACCTTCCATTCACTAATCAGAAGTGGCTCTTGGCTGCATAATTCTTGGAGGGATCGAGTAGAAATAAATATTTTAGTTCAAAGCATTTCTTCTGGGGGAAAAGCAAAAACAAAAATATCTCCCTTTGGATTTCCTCTTCTTCCTTGCCTCCACTTCAGGGACTTGATTCCCCCTTACCTTCCTGAATTTGCTCTAGGTGGTCTTCCCTTTATTCATTTCCACACTTCTCCCCATCAGTCATCTCACTCAGTAGACAAAGGAACCTCTTAGTGTTTCAGCCCTTTCCAATGAAGTGGGGATCTTAACTCCAAATAGACTGTGAATTTCCATGATAACTTTTCCTTGTTAGACAGATCCTCAGAAAAATTCAAGAAGAGTAGCCAACAGTTTTAAAACATTGTTTCTGATAAGATTATTATTATGGTATGTGTGTGCGAGAGAGAGAGAGAGAGAGAGAGAGAGAGAGAGAGAGACATAGAGAGAGAGAGAGAGAGAAGAGACAGAGACAGAGACAGAGAGCTGCTCCTGGGACTTGATAATCAGGGCTGGGCACTGCCCCTAAGCTTTTTGCTCAAGGCTAACATTCTACCACTTAAGCCACAGCTCCACTTCTGGTTTCTTGGTTGTTAACTGGAGATAAGAGTTTCATGAACTTTCCCAACCAGGCTGGCTTTGAACTGCAATCTTCAGATCTCAGTCTCCCAAGTAGCAAAGATTACAGACATGAGCCACAGGCATCCAGTGAGATCATTATAATGAAAAAGAAAAACTGTACTCTAGTTTTCCATTTATCTCTTTTTCTTTCTTTATATATTTATTAACTTAGAGACCCAGATTCTAGTGTCATGTTTGTTTTTTACAGTCTTCATAGTTCATCATATGACAAAATTGTGTAGATTAGTATAGTTACACCAGGCATATTCTGGATCTCAGGCTCATGGAGGGAATTGAGGTGCCATATCTACTAAGGCAGGAGGAAAACTATCTGAAAACTTAGCTCCAACTGGCATCCAATCTCAGTCTACAGAAGCCCAAGCAATTATGGATAGAGACAAGAAGGGGAGAATGTAGCCAAGCAGATGTCATTGTCCAGAGAGGATCTTGGAAGTGGCAGAGTATACCAGGAGCCAGATGTCCTGTATCTCTGAAAGCATTCAGAGCAGCAGCACCAATTTATTGAAAATTTCCTAGAAGTTCTATAAATAAAGCCATTTGTTGTAGGTTCTGAGTGACTGAGCTATTACCTAAGCACTTGTACTTTATGGACAATAGTTGTTAATAATTGTTTTGGTGTTAGTAAGCAACTATTGGAATTCACTTGAAGTGCCACTTTCTACACACACACACACACATACACACATCCTGCAGATAGCGTATTTCGAAGGGAGGTGCTGAAGAGACCCAGTTACAGTCTGTACATGGGTTCTGAGTTTGAGGGATTCAGCTCAATTACATACAGAAGATAGGGTAAAAATGAATCTCTACTAAATATATTCAGATGTTTTGTCATAATACAACAATAACTATTTAGCCAGCATTTACATCTTATTAGGAGGTTATTAAACATAGATAATTTAGAGATGATTTAAAGAGTATGTGAGAGTGTGCATAGGTTCTGGGAAAATGCCATACCACTTTATGGCACCTAAGAATTTTGGTATCCATAAAGGCTCCTGGAATAAATTCCTTGCAGATAGCAAAGGACAGCTGTAATATCTTTTCTTGTTCGCTAAATATAGACAATTATTTGGGATTTGGCCTGAGAGTGACTCAGTTAAGATTAAAACACCAGGACAACATGGTGTTCTTGTACACCATGACCAAATACTACACGTCATTTAATTTGTATTTTATCACCTTTTTTCCCCTCTGTGTTGTCTGTCTTTATCTAAAGAAGGGATCACATCTGAATATAATGAATGTAGTGAGAGAAAGTTTCGACGAGTTCCCATCCTCACTGAACTGAGTAAGTCATGATTTGAAAGCAAAATTCAAGTAAGAGATAGTTACAATGTTTAATTGATGTCCCAATGTTCTTTGCATAATGCATAGCCAAAGAACTTAAGAAATCAGAATGGAGCCCAGATAGCTTTAAGCACTTGGCCACATGTCATGCTGGGTGCTTACCTTCCTGTGGTATCATCCAGCAGAGCCTGTTCTATGGTGGTGTCAGAATGCAGGGACAACATCTGCCATGTCCACTCTATTGAGGGATATTGCTACCAGAAGAAGGACGAAGGCCAGCAACAGGTTCAGTTTTAATGGGAGGGATGCAAGCTTGAAAACTGCCAGGAAGGCTCTGCCTGTAGCAGTCTATCTATCCAGCATGAGACTTAAGGCCAAGCTTTTCCTTCCTGGTGGCCAGGCATGTAAGACATGTGGCAAGCAAATTTGACTAGTGCTCACTCTTGGGATCATACATTTTTATGTCTCAGGTGCCTCCCTTACATCTCCATCCTCCTATCTCTGAGTGATACACTTCTAAACTAGAAACAGCCCTTGAAGAAAGAAGAGAATATTCCACTCAATATTCTTGCCAACACCATATGAAAAAGGAGCTCAAATGAAGCTTTCTCAACATGATGGACACAGGAAGTAGGGTGGATGAACATAGAAAAGAAGTCCTGTGTGCTTTTGGGTGGGAGGTGTTAAAGGGCACTGGCAGACACTCTGCAATTCACTACTGAAAAGACTGGAAAGTTGAGGGGGAATTTTGGAAAAGGAGAATTATGCCTAAAAGGACCCCATCAAACCAACTCAAAGATGATCTCAAAAAGCGGTCCTGGATATGTGATTTTACCTGAATCTAGAAGACAGAAAAATGCTTTGTGAGAATTCACAATTAGGAATGCTTAAGCCAGGCCGGGCTTGGATTAAACTAGATGAGCAAAGCAGAGGAATTTGGAGAGGATCTGTGCATTTCCCACTCCCTCCTCCCCCCACCCCATAACAGTGGCCAGAGAGGGATAGTGCAGCAGATGAGGGACATCCATGTCTGGCATGAAGACTCTTCACATCTAAGATCCACAGTTTCCAATGGGCATCTACCGGCCTGCTACCACTACAAAGCCATTGGTTGTAGCTTTTATTTATACTGTATTTTCTCCTCCTCATTTGAACCATCTATAACTTCCTAGGTTTAAATAAAGTAAGAATGTAAGTTAGAAGAAGACTAGTAGGTTAGCTTGGTTGGAAGGAGATAAATTAGCTTTGTACTGGTCCAGAGGTGTGTCTGGTTGCTCACCCACCAGGGCTTTACAGGTTTTGTTTTGCTGAAGAATCTCTGGCACCAGGCAGCTCTTGTCAAATTAACTAACAAGTCACTTTCCAGCTGACTCAATTCCTTGTTCTTTGTCTGGCTGGGCAGGGTCATACTGACATGGGAGCTGAAAGTCTGGCTGCCAACACTTTGGTACAGAATGTTCAGGAACTTGTAAGAAAATGGCCAGGAAAGCTGAGACCTCTGGTTTACATGGAATGGCAAAAGGACTATGGAATTGAGGACTGTGAGGAGAGATGTGGGTTGGCATGAGTCCTGCCCTGATCATCTATTATAAAAATATTGCTGTTCTTAGAAGAAAATGACTCACTAATTCCACCAATATGTCACTTCCCCCTAACTTACTGTGGAATAATTTAAGGGATTAAGGAACAATACAGTTTTAGAAAACTAAGAATTCTGAGTTGTATGTCTCTTGGATTTGATTTGCTCTATATCAATAAATGTAAAGTTGAGAACCACAAAGCATCCAAGACTTTGTACCATTTGCAAACTAACAAGTTAATCTACCACAGTCCCATGGATTCTGGAAGAAGACACAAGACTCCTGGGCCAGAGATGAAAGATGAGAGAGAAAGAAAATGGGAGAGTCAGAGACAACAGAGACAGGGAGGTTTGTTTCTCCCAGCAATAACAGTAACCAGAGCATCACCATATCTATGCTGGTTCTTCACAGCCTGTCTCCACAGAGTGACATGAAAAAGTCCATGTGATATTTGCATCCACGGTGAAGGGGGAGGGATCTGAGTTTAGGAAGCCAGGATATTTGTATAATAGGCAATAAGCACGATTAGCATGCATTCATTTCCTGTGTTCTAAAGGAGGCAGTATCTCTATCTTCCAATGTTGCTCTCTTTTGAGTTGATAATCCCACAATAAAGTCAGTAAGTACCTCTGCTCTTACTCCCAACAAAAGATAGTTGTGCTCAAAGCAGTCTTCCTAAAGCAGCATAAGTTGTAGATTGGGCCAATCTGAATATTCCAGGGGGTATTTTGGCTACCAGCCTCAATAAAAATCCTGCATGCCTTTCCACTTTAAAGCATGGACCATGAATGGGCTGAAGAAAACACATGAGTGCTTGAGCAATATATAGACTCCTGGAACCCTCCCTGGACCCAGTAAAACAGAACTTGTACTGGAAGAAGATACTTGGAAGATTCACATACACAGTAAAGGCATATGAAAGGCATGGCTCTGACTTACTCTAAGCTCAGACAACTCTTCTTGAACCCAAGACAGTGCCAGGTCATCTGTAGAACAGCATCATGAGACAGGACTATAACAGGGGTGATAGTGTTTCCTTATGGATGCCTATTGTCCTATGGAACTTGATGACACTGACCCCTTTCAGAAGTATCTTGGTTCAAAAGATAAATTATATAAAGCTGACAACCAGCATATTTCCCTGGAGAATGACCCATTGAAAATGAAGGTACCCAAAAGGGAAGGCTACACAACTGAAGGGCAAGCATATCTTTAGGAAGGTAAACAAGCATACTGGAATAGGGATAGAGCCACAGACCTTAGAGCAGCTACTGGTCCTCTGTGCAATGGAGACCTTTGGGTACCCAGTCACGGCAACCCCCAGCTTCAGATCCTTTTTACCTCTTTGTGTCTTGCAGAAAATCCCTCCAACATCCACTTCATTGAGCAGCTTGGTGGACTGGAAGGGACCCTCACAGGAACCAGCCTGCATCTCAGCACATCTTTTGCCATAGGTGCTGTCTTTTCTGGAAGTTTCTTGGATTCCCTCTTGGCCACAGTAAGTGCATCCAAACCACCTTGCCCCAATACTGAATCCCCTTGTGGAGAGGTGAATGGATGGTTGTAGGCTGAGCAGAACCAACCTTTCTTTGATTTCCCCAAACCAAAACCTATTCATACACATTGTTTAATCTTTTCTCATAATTACTAGATGACTGGAGTACAATGTTCATGTGGGAACATTTCAAACTTCAGGGCCTTGGAAACGAAAGCCCTGATGTCAGGGAGTAATAAGTGCTGGACTAGCAGTTCCTTGTTCCTTTTAACAATCCATTCCCCTTGGTGACAGAGCTCTTGAGATCCTGCCGCCTCTTTTTTCTAGAATCTCCCCCAAAAGCTTTATAGTATAGGATATTAGTCATAAAGACGTCAATGATTCAAGGGAAGTGCTTGGCCTTTGATGGTGCTAAGCCAAATCTTTTTCCATGTTGGCCTTCTTGTAGGAAGTGTTTTAGTTACATAGTAGTTGTTCAGTACTCCTTTAGCATAAAATAGATCACTTGCACCCATTATAGGATTCCCATGAGTAGAATCCAGTCATAGCTAAATAGTTATTGAGCCCTAACCAGTAATGCAGCACCAATTAAGTCTCCATCCACCTAAGCTTGTACTTGTGAAGAGGCTGATGTAACATGGTCAATAAGCTACTAGGAAGGGATGCTGGCATAAAGGGAAGCAAAGTTCAAGGGAGAGTGGTAAGTTTCAATATAGATCCAGAAGAGAGTTCCGATAAAGAGCATGGGAGTCAAGCCCTGGAGGAGAGGAAGATGTATACCATTCAGATCCCTCTAGGCAGAGGTAGTGAGCTGGGAGCACCTCCAACATGTAGGAGGATTTGAACTTGACTAAGAGCCACAGAATGACTGGGGAAGACTGTGTAAACAACTACAAGAAATCTTGCAAAGGTACCCATGCAATCCACCATCTCTGATTACTCCTACTGAATTTTTGAGGGAAGGCTTACACGAAACCTGAACATCAAGATGCTTCAATGCCCGAGGCTCAGCAAAGTTTGATGAACCTGCTGCCTTTGCCATAAAAATGGCATACCTGGACTATACAGATACTTGAAAGGCACTGTTTATACATGCAAAGGATCATAGTTGGGACCTATGTATCTCTCTCATGACATGCATACCATTTAGGACTGAGTTCAGTTGCAGTGGGATCTCATAAACTCCACAGAGCTCTGAGACACACGCCGTTTCTTCAGGGATGGTATAACGTTACACATTAAAGGGTTAAGCAACATGCATTCTTAACCAAGCCAGGTAACTTTTCTGAGGTGACTCTATCAGACAGAATGAATGTTGAGTCACTGTCTGTCACTGATGTGTCAATTAACTTGCCTGGAATTAACCATTGGAGTGGCTGGCAGGTTACTTTTGATGAACTTGACCTGTCTGTGGGAAACATTTTAGATGAATTTAAGCTCCCAATTCTCTTCAAAGACTTGTAGGTGGCAGACAGCTTTATGCCTTAAATTAAACCTGAGACTTAATTAACCCCCCCTACTTCACTGGCCACACAGGCAGGAGTCAAGTCACAGATTCTATTTAGAGTTGGTTAGAAGGGCAGATTCTTGGTGTATTTTAAACTACTATACTAAAATATCAGAAACTAGGTAATGTATAAACAGCAGAAGTTTGTACAGCTTACAGTTCTGGAGGCTAGGAAGTTGAAGAATGTTGTATCTGTATATACAATCCAAGGTTCCACTTCTAGACACTGCTGCATAGGGCATTATATTTGTAAAACAGGTTTTTGATGGTGGTGATGATGATATATTGAGACCACAACAGGCAGGGTAGATATAGAAGAGTCAGAAGAATAGAAATAAAAACAACTAAACTATTAGACTAAATTAGACTTTGTCATAAAACCGTGGACATCCAGGTACAAAGAACAAAGAAAAGGTTTATTGCTGGTAAAGGAGCTGGCAAGATGCCTTCTCATTAGGGGGAAGAAGTAAGAAAAAGTGCCAGCTATTGTTTTAGGTGACCTTTATAACCTCTGAGATTTGGGGAATCTTGCTGCCTTATATGGTCATAGCTCCCCCAAAGGAGTGGCCTCTCAGGTAACTCATATGACCTGCGAGGGTTAGGGAATCTTGCTGCCTTAAATGGTTATAGCTATCCCAAAGTAGAACTCTCTCAGGAAAAGGGGGTAGGGGATGATCATTTACTGCCTTTACTACATGGGCCTATTATTGCCTAGGGAAAGAGCATGCTAAGCTATGAGAGAGGAGGCTTCTGGGCTAACTTAAACATTTAGCACAAGTATGCATAGGAAACAGTAAGTTGATAGTTGAGAATCCTGAGCCAGGTGTTGGCACCTAAACCCATCACTCACCATGAGTGTGACTTTGACCTTGGGCACTATGATGGCCACTTCCCTCCCAGGATACCTCCAGTCATTGTATAATGGCTTCTACTCACTGGCAGAAGGTTGCCTGTTGCTGGAAAACAAACTGTAGTTACATAAAATCTCAGACATCTTCTAATGCCTATGGTGAAATCAATGGGAAAGAGAGTACCTCACATTAGTGTGCCCTCAGAAAGTTGGTTAGTTCATGAAGCAACAGACTACATTGCATCGTATGTTAACCCTTAAAAACTCCTGATATGTATTCAGTTTTGGAAAGAGTTTGGGTCAACAATGGAGCAGCAGAGTCAAAGGACTTAAATTTTGAATTACTATACATCTACCTGTTATAGGTAGATGGAGTCTTGAATAAGATGTGGTATAGCAGAATGAAAAAAAAACAACTGTAGTACTATTGAAATGAGGATCTGAACTAGATCTCTGAAAATAATCTGAGTCTTGTTACTCTTGTCTCCTTCCATTGGGCCTGATTCTACTCATTCAACTTGCCCTTTTAAGGGCACAGTGGCTTCCTAGCAGATCACAGGCATAGAAACAGAGGCCAGACAGGAATTGGCACTGAGCCTTCAATCCCGTTGACTTCTCCCCTCCAGGAACCATGTTCTCTTCGCTAGTTTCATATAAATGGCATCAGAGAGGAAGACAACATTTTTTATCTTCTACTAGAAAGATTTAGAGCCATGGAGGTAGATTCATAATGTTCTCAAACACTCTATTTTGCACATGGAAGCATCTCCTGGATAAGGATTGGGAAGAAGGCAAAGACCTCTTTTTCCCCCATTGAGGTCAGCTAGCAGTTACAGATTCCTGGCTATCTCCCTTTAACACACCACTCTCAGATGTCACTGATGACCACAGCTCTCCTCCCCTAGTTCATAGCCGCAAGTCTTCCCCAAACAGATGTCTAAGCAACTCACCCCTATAAGCCCTATTGTTGAGATGACACCAAAAATTCCTGCCATAGACAGAATTGCAGTATCTTTCAAGCATTCAAGTCATAACAAGGACTTTGCTAATCCTATTGCCTCATTAAATTCTGCTGTAAATCCATGTAGGAGAATGCTACTAATAGATTTGTTTGTAGATGAAGACATTGAGGCCTGTGTGGGTTAATTGCAAATAACAAGCTGACTTTGATAACTGTTGTTTCTAGAATCAAGTCTTACTACCACAACCAACGTGATCTTTAGGAACCTGGTATCTTCAATGCAGTGATTCTCCTGTTTTGCTTAAAGGAATCCATTTCTCAGATTACTTAGGGATCAGAGTGACTCTACTTTTATGTGTGTCAGATGTGAGACACTTTAATAAGATATACTGGAAGAAAGATTTCTAGAATTAAGATTAGAACTATTCCAAAAGATGCTGGGCACCGGTGGCTCACACCTGTAATCCTAACTACTCAGGGGGCTGAGATCTGAGAATCACAATTCAAAGCAAGCCCAGGCAGGAAAGACTGTGAGAATCTTATCTCCAATAAACAACTCAGAAGACTGGAAATAGTGCTATAGCTCAAGTGGTAGAGCACTAGCCTTGAGCTGAGGAGCTGAGGGACAGCACCCAGGCTCAGAGTTCAAGCCCCACAATTGACAAAAAAAAAAGAACTTTTCCAAAAGATTTTCCAAATTCAATCAAAAAGTCTATGGGGGCAAGAGTTAGTCATTGTGTCCCATTTTTCATGTTTTGTCTTTTAGCATCCCTCCCTCCCCAAAGACCATCATTCATTCTGGTTCTTGCAACATGCTACCCATCTTAATGCACCAAGATATCAGATCCCTATTGTTGGACAGTGATCATAATGTTCATTTCCCTGATGCCTGCACTAACAGGATGGCAAAACTAACATCTCTGCCTTGGAATGGACTTCTCAGGAAGAAAAAACAAAACAGCTCACACTTCAAGAGGGTCTGAAACATCATGAGAATACTAAGTCTTGACTTCCATCCTGTTGAACAGTTATTCCCATGTAATATTTAACTCCTCTCTTCCTTCCCGGGGTACTCAACACTTCATGGTGCTTCTTCATCTCTCCCTTCCAATCGCCCCTAATAAACTCCAAGAAAGAATGTGCAGGTATTATAGAAGTGCTGAGGTCCCAAATACTGTGTTGTCAACTTGTACCCATTTAGAAATATGGGGGTTTTGCCTGGGACTTTCACATAATTTCTTTTTTTATTTGGAGTCCGGTCATGGAGCCTGAACTCTGGGCCTGGGCGCTGTCCCTCAGCTCTTCAGCTCAAGGCTAGCGCTCTACCTCTTGAGCCACAGCGCCACTTCCAGCTTTTTTTCCTTTTGCTTATATGGTGCTGAGGAATCGAACCCAGGGCCTCATGCATGCAAGGCAAGCACTGTACCACTGAGCCACTTCCCAGCCCCTTCACATAATTTCTTATAAGTTCTATCTCCTAGTAGAAGCATGAATTTTTTCCAGTGGAACGTCATTGGTTTTTTTCCTTCAAATCTGCAAGCTCAGTTAATGTTAGATTGACTGCCATAGCTACTCAAACTCCTACCACCATGGTTGGGAGAATATGCCTTTAAATAAAGTTCTAATGACTTTAAATTCTTCATCAGTTCACATTAGTTAACACATGGTCAACATTCTGGGTGATATTGCAAGACTCTTGTTTGGGTTTACAACAAAAGAGTCTCAGAAAGAGATATGAGCTTAGCATTTCCTTTTGTTGGGAGAAATGCAGGGAGGCCTGCAGAAGCTACATGATGTTCTTACGGCTGTCCACCTGGTTGTTATTATTCTTCAATCACATACACTCAGTTGCATACAATCTCTCTGTGAACTAGAAGTATTTCCCAAAGGATATTTCACCTTGAGTCTTTTTGAGATTCTTAGGATTAAAAGAAAAAATATAACAAGTGGATAGGCTGTTAATATTAGTGAGGAATATTTTAAAATTTGAGAGAAACTTTTGAAGATGAAAGCTAGAACCCTTAAGGATGTAATGTTTTCTAACATTGAAGTCCAAATGTTATTCAATTAGAAACATGATTTGAACTTAGAAGGCTAAAAACATTTCAAGGATATTCCAATTTGCAGACTTCTTGAGAAGGAACAATGGAAAGGGCGATGGTTAGCAAAGAAGAAGAAAATGTATAAGAAGAGGAAAAGAAAAAGAACAAGAAAAGTAAAAAAAAAAAAAAAGAACAAGAAGTTTAGAAGGGTCGGTCTACCAGAAAATTCCAGCAGAAGAATGAGGAATGAGATGAACTTACCAAATGAGGGTGACATACCAATCCAATTATTTCCCCTAATATAGAATCACAATCCTTTTGATGTCAAAAGTTAAGAAATGCTATATTTTAAAGCTAAGCTTCTCAGTTAAATATGCAAAGCAGGTTTTCTTAGAGCCATAGACAGCAGGATAAACTTAAAATTTACACCTTTTCTTTAATCAGTGGGGAATTATTCTATCAGCATTATAGTAGCTTACTCTACATTATGGCCACATATCCTTAAATGGATTGTGGCTCAGCCTAGATTTGCAGCCTCCATTTCATTCCAGATGTCAGGGCATCAATTCCACAAGCTCACTTTTGTTGTGAGTAGGGTAGAACAAAGACAACATGTCAGGAAGAAACATTTCCAGTCCAACAACTAGGGTGAAGTCATTTTTAATCTGAAAAATACTGTAAAAATTATATTGATTCTAAGTCTGCATCAAGTACATAATTGCTTAGGTCAACTTGTCCCAGCCACCCTTAAGTTTGACTAACAATATTTGTTTATTAGTTAAAAGTCGTCTGCTATTGATTAGTTAAGAAAACACCTGCCTTGTTGAATAAAACCAGAGGCTATGACTATAAAGTAGACAAAGTCCATCAGTGTTTGAACTTAAGCCTTCAAGCTCTGGCTTGGCTTTTTCACTCATTGTTAGTGTTCTACTACTTAAGCTGTGCCTCAAATTTAGTATTTTTTGCTGGTTATTTAGAGAGAAGAAGCTCAGATATTTTTCTTTCCTGGCTAGAGTCAAACCATAATTCTGAGATCTCAGTTTTCTAATATCTAAAATTATAGGCCTGAGCCAACAGTGGCCTGTGGAGCATTCACTCTTTTTTATTATTAATAAGGTTTTTTATTGTGAAAATACCATACAGAGGGGTTACAATTACATGAGCAAGGAAATGAGTACATTTCTTATCAAGCATTGTTGCTTCCTCCTATTTTTCCTTACCATCCTTTCCTCCCATCTTCCCACCAACTCCCCATCACCCATCTACCCTTCTCCCCCCCCCCACCAAAGTTGTAAATTTCATTTTTTGACAGGGATATCTTATACATCTCATTGTTGCAATGGGTCCACCGGTATACCTATTTAAACAATTTGTTTTGTCCCTTCCCCTCCACAAATTATACCAACATCAAATACATTGAAAATAGAGCTTATACCATAGGGGAGGGACATACAAAGCAACAAAGAATTCATTTTATAAATATGTTAGAAACAATAGCAAGAAAGAAAATCATTTGAGTCTTAATCTTGGGGTTCATTTCTTCTAACATCAACTTGTTTGACCATTTCTGCTTGTCTCAGAAATATATTAGTTATTGCAAATAAGGGAAACCATGGTACCTATGTTTCTTTGGGCCTGGCTTACTTCACTTAATATAATTTTTCCAAGACTTTCCATTTCCTAACAAATGGGGCATTCTTTCTGATGGAGGCATAGAATTCCAGAACCCTACTGCATTGTTGGTGGGAATGTAAACTTGTTCAACCACTTTGGAAAGTAGTATGGAGGTTCCTCAAAAGACTCCACATAGAGCTTCCCTATGACCCAGCAATCGCACTTTTACCAGAATGATCACAAACAAGACCATACTAAAGCTACCAGCATAACTATGTTTATTGCATCATTATTTACCAAAGCTAAGATATGGAACCAACCCAGATGCCTCTCAGTAGATGAATGGATCAAGAAAATATGGTATATATACACAATGGAACATCCACTCTTAACAACTGCTCCCTTTGTCCTAAGGCCCACCCATAACAGAATCACCTGGGATGCTCCCAGCCATAGATTCTGATACAGGAGATCTGGGATTCTGGATCTCTATAGTCATAAACATATCTCCATATAATCCAGACACATAAGAACAAATAACAAAGGGAAAGAAATAGAATATAGGAATGGGTGACACAGAAGTGATGAATCCTATAAGAAATGTTAGGTAGTGAATATTAATATGTTAACTTTAAAGATTATAAGACATACTGAGAACAAAACTACATGAGTTCCCCAAAAGCATTCATGTAGGATGTGAGAATCCAATACTCAAACTCAGACTTATGTTATACAAAGAACTGACTACAAAAGGCAGAAGAACGAAGCACAGGAAAAGCCAGTGACCATGAGATCAAAAAGAGAGGAAGATTTTATTTGATGAGGAGGTCCAGGTTGAGGAGAGACAATGAAGATTTTCAAGAGCATAAAAGAGTACCGATGTGACGCCAGCAACTACAGACAGAGAACTGTGCATTTCAGAGGCTCGTCCGTGGAAATGAGTCCAGAACAAGAAGCTGGACCCTACTGTGAAGTCTTTGAAGGCCATAGTAAAAATCTAGGCTTGGTTTTATAGCCTTGTTTAGCACTAGCTTGAAGAAGTCAATGATGATTATGATCTGATTCATGAGAGACTAGAGAATCTCTCTGTAATCATTGTGAACAAAAGATTGCAAATAAAAGGAGGAAAAACAAAAACCCTTGAATAATCCAGCCTTTGCTTGGTTGAAGCATTGCATGACTATAATCCTAGTACACTAGAGACTGAACTAGAAGGATTACTTAATTTCAAGGGCTCAAGGCCAAGCTGGGCAACACAGCCAGAAGCCATCTTCGTCATCGTCGTCTTCTCCTCCTTCTCCTTCTTCTCCTTCTCCTTCTTCTCCTTCTTCTCCTTCTTTTTCTTCTTCTCCTTCTTCTTCTCCTCCTCCTCTTCCTCTTCCTCCTCCTCCTCTTCTTGTCCTTTTTCTTCTTCTTCATCACCCTACCACCTCCATTACCATCACCACCATCATCAGAAGACAAGTCCCACGAAAGTGGGTCAAATAATGAAGCACCAGACTTGAACAAAATGCTAAGTGAGATCACAAGGCCTGAGCTCAAGCCCCAGCACTGGCGCACAAAAAAAGTATTTAACAGAAGACAAGTCCCTGAATTTTAGAGAAAAGTATGGTAAAAATTCTGAAACAATAATAAAGTAATTCCTACTACTTAGTGTATAAACAAAATATATTCAATATACTTGAGAAAACCCACTAGGTAATATATTACAATGTTATGTCCATGTGCTTCAATGCCTAGTCTGTACTGTTTACAGTAAAAATTCTCAGAATGGGAGTTTGCCAAAATGACTAAGATCATTCAGATTCAAGCTTGTCTCAAACCCATTTTCCCATATATCGTTTTCTGCTTTAATTTTGATTTTAGGATTCTATAACCCTGTCCATCTATTTATTTAGCACCTACAGTTGCTAAAGTACATAATGAGTTAGGAAAATACAAATATCAATAAGACCTAAGTCACTACCTGCCCTCAAATAAGTCACAATCCAAAGAAATGTTAATTACATCCACATCCAAAACACTCAAGACCAGAGGACAGTAAGATCAATATCCCCCAAGGAAATTCTGTAGTGAACATTACTAAATATACATGGTTATTAGAATATTTGTAGTTTTTACTCTGGTCACTTGTGGAAGAGATGAGTAGTTGGTCTATTATCAATATCTAATATCTTTTCCTTCTCAGTATAAATGCCACACGAACAAGAACCTGCTTTCTCCCTACCTTGTCTGACAAGCAGCCCTATCCACATTGCCAACTAGCAGTTTGTTTGATAATGATATTTTGAGGTACTGATCTACCCCCACAGGTCTATTTCAGTGATACCAACTCAGTCTGACATCTTCACCATTGCTGGGTGGCTCCCTGTAACTTTGTATGTGGCTTCTCCTTATTCCTCAGGCCTTCTACAACTATCATGTCCTGGAATTACTTCACATGTTGGTGACAGGAGGGATAAGCTTCCAGCTGGAACAACATTTGGACAATGAAAAGCTTTCTGGGCTACCTGAGAGCTCTACATTCTTGTCTGGGAGGATGCGATGTAAGATGGGTCTTCTGTCTTTAGACCAAACCATATTATCAGACATTCAAGTGAGTCTACTTATAATATATTACATCTTCTCACTTCTTTAATGCTCTGAATTTCCAAGATGTTGGGGTTCATAGATAACCTACAGCACAGAAATATTGGTATAATATCATACACTCATATTTTCAAAGAATATTTTACAATTCATAGTACGTTTTTACATGTTAAGTTTATTTTTCAGCAGTTCAAAAAAGTAAATAAAGCAGTCTTCTCTCTCCATCTTCCAGAAAAATGGTTCAATTATGATGCATATAACACCAGGCTTCTGCTGCTACTATAGTATGAACATGTCTCTCAACTTCATGTATTGGAAATTCGTCTCCCAATGCAACAATGTTGAGGAGTGAGATGGTTAAGGATGACTAAGTCATCCATGGGGCATGAATATCATTATTGCAGGAGTGCCTTGGTTTTCATGGAAGGGGGTTTCTCATGAAAGCATGAATTCAGCCCCCATCCCTTCTCCCTTGCACACATGCTCTCCTGCTTTTCCACCTTCTTCATGGGATGATAGCAAGAAGGTCCTTGCTCATACTGGCCCCTTCACCAGGGGTTTTCCAGAAATTCCAGGTCTTTTTTAATTTTTTTTAATAAATTACAGAGTCTGAGGGTTCAGTCACAACAGCATAAAATGAACTAAAATACCCAGAAAGTTATTAATACTAATTACTACAAGAATGCTTTCTTAGTATGTCCCTTATTGATCTAGTTTTCTCTCATTTAATATGTGAAAGGATTTATATGATAGTATTAATTACATTCAGTAGATCAAGAAGCTGAAACTGGGGCTGGGAAAGTGGCTCAGAGGTAGAATGAGTGCTTGCCTTGCATGCATGAGATCCTGGGTTCGATTCCTCAGCACCATATAAGCAGAAAAAGCTGAAAGTGGTGCTGTGGATCAAGTAAGTGGTAGAGCGCAACCTTGAGCTGAAGAGCTGAGGGACAGCGTCCAGGCCCAGAGTTCAAGACTCATGACTGGAAAAAAGAAGGAGAAGGAGGAGGAAGAAGAGGAGGAGGAGGAGGAAGAAGAGGAGGAGGAGGAGGAGGAGGAGGGAGGAGGAGGAGGA